GGTTTGACGTCTGCCCGAGCTTGTTGCTGTGACTCCACCAAGGTCGTATCGAAGGCTAGTGTTCCGGAACTTGAGCATCGGTATGTGATCTGGATCAGGCATAGCCTGTGATTTCGAGTTGCGATGATGCTCTTGCGAGGCCGAATAGGAACGCAGCGAGCCCTTTCGAACGGAACCGTCCATCGCTCGTGACTAATTTGTGGAGTCGATCGATTAGCAGGCAAAGTGTTTAGCTTCTACGGGGTTCACATCAGCGTCGCTCAAACAAGAATGACTTGATGGGAATCAGAATCAGTGTGTCCGTAATTTTAACATGGTTCACAGATCGTTGACAGATAGTTGACATGGACAACATCATGGAGTAAATTGACCGTTTCTTCGTATCATACTAAACCATCAAAAGCTTGATCCAACAATAAACAAGAACAGCAGGAAAAAAGCCCTTAGGGTATCGACTGAAAACAACGCTATTCAAAAGCATGCTAATCGGTTGATTTCCAATAAACTTCGACCGCAATGATGCGAAATTCTAGCAATGGCCGTGAGGCAAAAAGAAGGTCTTTAAAGCGCATATCCTTCCCAGGTACACAAGTAAATCAAAAAAGAGACAAAGAAGAAGTTTGCGACGAATTGACAGGTGAGGAGCAAAGAAAGATCGCAAGTGAATGGCACATGTCGACCACTACAAAAGCTGCATACCGTTGTCATGAAACAATGTCCGTGAGGACGGGGGTTGTATAAAGGGCATTTTGAACTCTTGATGTTCGCTGGATCCTCGGTTCATGATTCAGATTCGTTTCATCTTGTTAGTGGGTTACAGCATCTTCGTCATATAAGGGTTCATTGCAAGAGAAGACGTGGACACGTTGGGGGATCATCCGGCAGTCGATCGGTAATCTGGCAACTGATATACGACAGCCTCCGGGGCGAAAGATTTCATGTCGTTAGTTTCGTAGAATTCGTAAGAGTTAGAGTAAGTGTGAACGTCCAATATAGATGCGGATTTGCGGTGTGAGAATGAGATGGTAGTAGGTACGGCGTCAGTGTCTCCGGCGGGCAGCTTGATCAATACGTTGGTCAAGACTTTCTATCCTGCCGCGATAAGCTTTCACAATTTCTCTGATATGTCCTATTTTGGCGAGCTCATTCTCCAAGTCATCAATCGAGGCGAGTATGGAACGAGTACGAGCAATCTCAGCGTCAGCGTTACGAATGACGTTTCCTGCACGGTCATAGCTGTTCTGAATGGAAAGTTGCATCTGCTCTTCTAGCTGGTAGATGTTAGCAAAGAACTACGTGACGAGCGCATTTGTGTGCGAAGAAAGATAGCAAATCACTATCAGACACCCTTCCGAGTCCAGTAAGGAGAGAACGAGGTAGGAGACATAGCAGCGGGTGTGACACTCTAAAAAGAAGAAGGAGTGCAGGAATGCAGCATACGTACATAGCCAATACGACTCCGAATCTGTTCCTGCAGCCCGTCCAACTGATGCGAGAGTGCTCGAAGGCTCATCGGATCCAACAGCAACCGACCGTGGCTGCTGGCCGCACTGGCGGCGCGCGAGCTTGAGTTGCTGGTCCGTCCAGTTCCCCTGCCCCTGGAAACGCCATTGGCAGTATGCCCATTCTGGAGTGCAATTTGTTGTTGTTGCCGTAGGATTTGGATCTCGGAGGAGGTGAGGCCAAGCGAGGTATCGGGAATCGAGGCTGACACGGACATTTGGTCCCGGCAGAGACATGCTCCAACCGTGACAGGAGTCTAGGAAGCAGCGCCGAACGATCTGGAACCGTATAGAGACAATGGACCCGATTTCATGATGCTGACTGCAGGAAAGCGTAGGATAACAACACAGGGGGGTGAAGGGGGGAAAGGGGACGGAGACGAGTGAGGAAGGGGAGAAAGGGAATAGCGACAGAGCGCAAGGTGCGCTGTCAAAGCGCAGAAATCACTGGAGGAGGCAAAATGACTCAGGTCGCTGATTTGGTGTATCCTCCTGACGCGAGAATCAATAAACTCGGAGGTGTCTTTGAGAACCGAGAGGAGACAGGGGAGAGCGATTAACGGCAGCGGGAATATGGCCCGTTTGAGGAAGCAGATTATTAGTCTAGTCGGCGGCAGAAAAATCAAACATGAGACGGTGCAACCGCGGCAGCAGTCCTCGTTAGCCTGTTAGGTTACACTGACGAGGCGCGAGTTCGATCTGATCTGAGTTGATTGATGATGACGGAGCTGATCAGACATGCACAGGTACGAGCCGAATCTCCCAGGAAGAGGAATGTTCAAGGATGCCTCGGATAGAAAAGGAACGACAAGTCGACGTGACGCAGATGGAATCAGAATTCTACGACATAGTCTAGATGAAGAAAGCGCAGAGAGACTCTTGAGGATAAAATTGATGCCTCCAATCTCTGCAAAATACACTGTCCAAGGGGACAAAAGCATAGTTCTGCAGTTTTATATGACCAGGCAGAGCGGATATTCTATAGGAAATATATATCGACACCACCTGTAACAATAACTGGTCCCATTCGTCGCTCCTGATCTTGATGCTCGTTGCGTTGATATTATTCTAGCCATAGCAGATAATCCTCATTGGGTGAAGGCTATATGGAAATAACCCAACTATTTTATTCTTCCCTTAAACGTCACTGCTCATCTCCAAAGTTGTGGTTCTTCTCCGCGCCGCACTTCTCTCTCCTCTTCTCTCGTCAATGATCGCTACCTTCAACCTCCCAGCTCGCAATATCATCGTTGACAACGAGGACAGAACTTCTCTCTTTTTCTCAAAAGCTCTGAAAGTCAACAAAGTCCTAAAATAGCGCATTTGGCGCGTCGTCATACAACTCTAGTCGCCATTCCTGTCCTTGCCTTGTCGCGATCGCCTTTCCCCACGCCTGGATCTACTCAAGCCGCTGCCCAATCCGTGAGGCTAAAGCCCTACAGTTCATTACTGGATCCATTGTCGATTGGGAGGGTCAGTGCTCAGAAGATCCGACTTTGAGGAAAGATTTGTCTTGCTGCTCTTGATGCAGCTTACTTTAGTGTCAGCCTGTGAGCTTTTCCCCAATGTACTTGACGCAGGTCTAGCCTGTTACAAGAGCTGCAGCGAACGCTGTCCTACCCAACCAGATTACATTGCCAAGATAACCCGATTTTGAGCGACTCCCATGGCTGACTTGGATTTTGGCATCGATAGCAGCAATCGCACCCTAGTATTATCGAAACCTGCGGACACTGTTACTTTCCCAAAGCGCAACCATACAAATTTCGTACCGTCTAAGTATTCTGGAACCTCAGACTCGAAGGAACGACGAAAAGAAGAGCAACAATGCCGAAGGACAAAGAACGCTCAGTCAACCCTGCCATGGCGCAGCGGAAGCTCGAGAAACAGAAAACCCTGAAAAAGGCAAAAGCCGAAGCGCTGGCTCGTCGGAACGAGAAACTGGCGCGCCGCAATCCCGAGCGTATCCAGAGACAAATAAACGAACTCAAAGAAATGGAAGAGTCCGGGCAGAAGTTGCGGCCACGCGAGAAGCAGATACTGGAGGCACTTGAGCGCGACTTACGAGCAGTACAAAAAGCCAGGGAAGCACTTGGCGATAAAGCGCCCGCATTTGCGAGTTCGGAACACAGACGAGGGCCTCCTGGCGGCCAAAGAGACCACGGAGACGGGGTACTTGGCAAAAGGCGGAGAGAGGACCACAGGCGATTTGAGCCAGATAGTGATAGTAGCGAGACAGATGAGGACGTTCGCCGGATACCTATGCCGCGGGACACACCCCCGCCCATACCCAGAGAATATCAGAGAAGGAGAGGGCCAAATGCAGACGCGGATTTGGATAGCGCTCGTGGGCCACATCCTCTACCGTCGAAACCGGCCGTGGTGGAAACCAAGACCGTCTATGAAGCGAAGCCAGAGATCAGAAATCTACGGCAAGAAGCTGTCAGCAAGTTCGTTCCTGCGGCAGTCAGAGTCAAACAGGAGTCTATTAAAGGTCGTGGGAAACTGCTGGAGCCGGAAGAAATGGATAGGCTTGAGAAAGCCGGTTATAGCGCTACTTCTGCGGAACCCAAAGGAGGTGTAAACTCCGCTCAGCCGGCAAAGGGTGACATCGAGCAAAAGCTTCTAGAGGAGGAAGAACGGTTCAATCGCGAACTTCGCACTGTACAGATCGAGGAAGTCGAGGATGAAGAAGCTTGATAGTCATCAATCCATATCATGCGTTTCGGCCCAGGTTTAAATTATGTGACACATGGTTGACCGAATTCAATAAGGGAGCCTCGGGCTTCCCGCTTAACTCGAACGGTTTAAAGCCAAGATTGGCTCACTGCTGGAGATGATATTGAAGATAAATTGTCTTGGGTTCTAGGCACTGAAGACCTAAGTGAAAGAGAAACAAAAGTTGTATGTACACACATATGCCTTTCGCCTTTCCTGAATGCGCCGGATATCCAATGAGCCTCCAAACTAACGCCATTCGAGGGGAAGAAACACTGCCAGGGTCAAAGAGAAGAAGAGGAAATGTACAAGGGAACGAGAGTAGACGGGGTTTGGTAACCCTGTGGTAAAACAGGGGCCCATTGATGGAATAGATCTCTATCGGTCAAAATCTGGTGGATGGTGTCGGGGTGCGGAAACAGAAAAGACGAAGACAACACAGCGAATAGGAAAGGGCATCACGGCGTTAAGATACAAAGGAAAAGGGTGTTGTTTGCGTCGCGTTGACGATGCTAATCAAAAGGATGCGCCATATCATGCATCAGTCCCATGCCTTGCATGGTACATATAGCTTCTCCAAAGCACAGCACCGGGCCGAAACTCCAAGAAGTGTCTCATTTATTAAGATCCGTGGAAAATATTAGAGGCGGGTGCCGTGTAGAAATGCCGTTCGTTGTTTGCAAATTGCGCCTCTTGAGCGATTGAAAGTGTACCCATGTCATCCAGAAGAAACAGATGGTCAAGAATATCCCCAAGACTCGTAATTAGGGCGGCCAAGTTTTACCTGAAGTTCCGAATGACCTTTCTGCCACGAGCCAGGAATGGACTGGGCATCTCGTCCTTCTCTGGATCCCAAACGGCAGGAGGCTCACGGTCGGAAGATCTCAGATTCGAGGAGCAGCCCGAAGCTCGAGAATCACTTGCGCACCGTTTGACTTCATCCATGGGCCGTCCACCAGCCCTTGCCTGGGCAAGTTCAACCAATGTTCGGCCACCCATGTTGCGTTGCATGACCGCTTTGAACATCTCTTCACCACCGCCATTCGCTTTTGATGGAAGTTGTTTAGTAGCGCTCTTGCGGGTTGGCGACCCGGCATCAGCAGCAAGGTTCGCCGATGAGGGGATTTTAGACAGACGCCGATGGGGTGATCTAGACTTCTCTCCATGACGAGTTTCGGACGGACCACCTGGCATCTGGGGCAATCTGGAGGAATTGGAAGGGAAGAGGGGCGGCTGGGAGCTTAACTTCTGCATCAACCCAGTAGTGTTCTGTCGGAGCAGAGGACGTGCCGGACCCTTGAGAGGATCATGTTTGACCCTGTGTCGGGTAGGTGAGGGAAGGTCGGGTATATCATCTTCGTCATCAGAGTAAGCTAGAGTTGGTTCCCACTTTGCCCGCTGCTTGTCCGCCTCCGCAAAGATATTCTTGCTTGCCGCTGAGGTACGGCGGGGGGACAAAGAGAGTGATGCTATGGAGATTGGTGACGGCTCAGCCATCTGCACGTCAACAGGCGATTCAACCACTGTCTTCGAGCGACTGAAGGGCGTCCTAGTTTCCTTCTTTGGTTGCTTGTTTGCGCTGGCTGTAGGAGACTCGATGGACAACTGGCTGATGTCGGTGCTGGAGGGGAAGCCAGTGTCATCTCCGTTATTAACAGAAGACTGAGAACTGCCCGTTGGGAGGACCGTATCGTCCCTCGAACTGTTGTTCCGCTTTTGCTTCTCAACTTCGATGTTCACTCTTTCTTGTACCTCGAATTCAAACCTCTTGCGTAACTTGTCAAGTTCATTCTGTACCTGACGGTCGATCTCAAGCCTTGCCTTTACCTCCCACTCTCGGCGCACGGTGTTCTCAATTTCTGTTTTCATTTGCTGTTTCTCCCTTTCAAGCTTCGCAAAGGCTTGCTCCATTTCTTTGACCTTCTGCGATGCAGCTTCCTCACGCTTCCGGAGCGTCTTCCCAAGGTCAACCACTTCCTTCTCTTTCCGCATCAGGCGAATGATAGGAAGATTGATTAGAGTGGCGGTGTCTGGTCGATGGTCCGGGTTGACACGCAAGCAACTAGCAATCACATTCTTCAATTCTGGTGAGTAGAAATCCGGAAGAGGAGCATATTTCCCTTCTCGGATTCTTTGGACCAGCTGAATATGCGTCTTGGCGTTGAAGGGAGGTTCTCTCTGGCAGAGCTCATACATGATGCAACCGACAGCCCAGATATCAGACCGGAGGGTGTACTTCTCTGCAGCGCAGATCTCCGGTGACATGTAAAATGGAGTGCCGACATAGGTCGATGCGAAGTCATGCGAGTGCATTAGCTTGGACAAGCCAAAGTCACCGAGTTTGACCGTATTGTCACTGCCAAGAAAGATGTTTTCGGGCTTCAAGTCACGGTGCAGGATAGTCATCTGCGCCTGCTTGCCTTTGAGACCAGAGGGCTTGGGAGCCGGGCCCAGTATATTCGATCCCACGTCAATCGGGTCCGCTCCATAATGACACCGGTATAGCGCTGTTACCAGCTGGGATAAAATGCGCCAAACGAACTCCTCTTCTGCATATTTGTTTGTCTTCTTCAAGTTTTTAATAACCATGCTTAGATCACCACCGCCGCAGTATTCCATGTACAGGTACAGATCCTGGCTTGCTTTGAGATGTTCACGATGGTAATAGGCGACAATGTTCGGGTGTCGGAGGGAGCTCAGGATGTTGAATTCGGCAGTGAGCTGTTCGCGCTCCTTCTGCGACATTTTGATGTAATTGATTTCTTTGCGACATAGTATCTAGCTTGTTGGTTAGTCCCAACACCTGCGTCACAATCTTGAATTGAGTCCCTACGAAGCCATCGGATTTCCGTTTGACCTTGCGGATAATGCCGAATGAACCGCACCCTGTATGAGTTTTGTTTAACATTATGTTCCATGGGAGGATTGTAGAGTTCAGGGCAGGGCAGTCGTACCAATCTTCTCCAAGACTTCATACTTGTCTGCCTCAGCCAAAGCAATTGCCATTGTGGCATTCAAGTGGTTCGGACCGCTGAGGAGGTGATGGGGGCCAAGATTAAATTGGGTTGGACAAGTTCGAAAGGATATTATACAGGCACGCAATGCATTTATTAGCCTGTGTCTCACGATGTGTCCCTGTTAGGTTAGTAGACGACGACGAAAGTTGACATGGAACCAAGGTCAGGTTGCGAAGAAGAAGGTAACTAAGTATGCGACGGGGAGTTTTGGATGTTTAGATGCAGTGTTGTTGCTTAGCAACGCAGCAAGACATGGCTCTATTCTGTATGCAGCAGGCGGTGCACTCCAGGGCGGTGAGTCCCAGGGTGGTTCACGACTTGCAACCAAGAACATATATCTTTCTCCCTTGCGATCAGCTTATTTCAGTGTACGTGAGTGCATTTCTAGTGCTTGAGAGTCTGGGGCTCACTGAATAGCTTGAATATTTGATTCATTATTAAACTCCTTTATTGGCCTTGACTGTGGACACTCAGGAAGCTTCAATCAATGAACAATCTCACCATCCCCCTTTGTTGTCATAGTGGCAATATATATAACACGTGACTCTTCTTATCGATAAGATGATGCCATCGTTGAATGGTCTCCAGTCCCGCACTCTGCATGCAGCCTCGGATATTTGGCCGGCTGTCTTTTTCTGGTTTTGGTGTCCTGGCAAGGCCTTTTGATTGAGTTTCATGATGACAGAGAGGACTGTACTACGCAAAGATCAACTTGAAATCAGTCTCCACAATGAGAAGAAGCTGATCCAGGAGGGGACAATCAAGGATGACAACCCTCTTGATCTGAGCGAGCCGTTTCGGGAACTTTGCGAAGCGTGTCGCAAGGGGGACCTGAAAGTCTGCCAGGAAAAGATCACGGAAGGAGTTAATGTTAATGCTCGGGATCCGTACGACTATACTCCCCTGATCCTAGTAAGTAAACTATCCCTTGAGTATCGCCGGAATCATGACACCCGGGAATTTGCCTCTGCCATTGCGGGTTAGCCTTCGGACATCACATTAACAGAATTATGACATTAGGCAAGTCTCTGTGGTCATTACGAGGTTGCTCAGCTCCTTCTGGAGTCCGGTGCACTGTGTGAACGTGACACTTTCCAAGGAGAAAGGTACCGTCATTTGTCGTCGAGCAGATAACGCTCTGATAATTCTTGGTCTAATACTCGATTTTATCGCAGATGCCTATATAACGCTTTGAACGATCGTATACGGAATTTACTGCTTGAATATGATTATTCAAAATCTACCGATCCCCTTCAGCCCCTTGCCGCCCATGTATCGTCGCTACTCACTCGAGATCAACCTGGGACGTCTGATATTGTGGTGACAGCCGGTGATGAGTCTCTGTATTTGCATAAGTTTATACTTGCTGCACGTTCTCCATACTTTCGGGGGAAATTGGTAGCTGATCCCAAATCTACGACATGGAAACTGCCGGGCACGATCCCGCCGCAAGCATTCGGGACGGCAATCAAGTACCTTTACTTTGGAGAGGCTCCTCGCGACTTGAGAAGCGGGCCGGGGACGGGCTTTACAGAGTCAGAGGTCTTCGCAGGGATCGACAGGATCGCCAAGCACTTGGAGATTCCGAGTCTGCTGGATAGTATCCTTGACAGCGGAGATAGGAGGTTAGCCAGGCAGCGGAGGTCAATGGAGCTTTCAAGAGGTCGAGATCAGCTCGAAGAATGGTTCCGGAAGAATGTCCTTGGAAGTAAAATAGAGGTCGATTCCTCTAAGGTGGATGAAATCAGATGGGACCGTCACAATTGGATCTTCGCTGATGTTGTGCTTCGAGCCGACGAGCTCCCTGAAGACGAGGACGACATTGGCGATGGCTGCCATTTGAATGGCAAACAGCAAGACAGGAAATCAGTTTTGTTCCCCTGCCACCGGGCCATGCTACTTCGGTCCGAGTTCTTTCAAGCTATGTTCTCGTCTACATTCCGAGAGGCGCACTTGAAGGAGCATCTGAACGTCATACCTGTGGACTGTTCTCCTGAAGTTCTGGAGATTGTGCTCACGTTTCTGTATACGGAAAGGGCGGATTTCCCGCTTGATATCGCTGTCGACGTTCTTTTCGCCGCTGATATGCTGTTCATCGAGAAATTAAAAACAAAGGCGGCGGTCGTTATCAGCACACTCGGCAGCGGTGACATGTCGCAGGCAGAAGCTGCAAGGACTCGGGGTACCAAGGAAGAAGATGAGATTGATATCTACGCCATCATCCGCGCTGCTTGGTTGACTCGAGTCCAGCGACTGGAGGAGTTCGCTGCACGTTATCTTGCGTACAGATTGGAAGCTCATATTGACTCACCTGAATTCGCCGAATTGATTCAAGAGTCAGCAGCTCGTATCAAGGCAAGACAAGAGACCGACTCCATTGAGCTGTTAGACGACATCCGGTTCTACTTGGGCGAGCGCTTCCGACTCAGATTCGATGATGCTGGCCTGGAAGAGATGATGGAGGAGGAACAACGACAACAGCTGGCGGATGCTAGTGGCGTCGACAAAGACTTGGTAGAGATTACCGACAAAGTGGACGCAATGGGCATTCAGAGTCAGACTCTGCCCATCGGCGCAGAAGCAGAGGTCGCGCCTGGTGAAAGGACTAGAGAACAGGGCCCCGTCATCCGGACTCTGGATGGAGAAATCGCTGGCGATGAATTCAGCAAGGATGCGATCAACTATCAGATTCTCATGGAAAAATTGGATCGCCTCTTGGAAGAGCTGAACTTGGAAGCTTGAGCGGTGAGATGATTACGAACTGATCCAGGACATGATGACTAGACGACAAACTACGCACGGTATATATACAAAACATATACAAATGTATAGAGAATGATAGAATCTGAATGTTGCATCTTCTGTTTTATCCACTCTTGTCAGAATCATGTTAGTTTATGCTGCTCTGTGGCTATATCTACACGTCTTTGATGGCGACATCGCTATCAAACATTGACATCGTCCAACTCTGTTTAGGGATCAAATCATCTCAGTTCATCTCACCACTCAATAATATGGAAGCGGCTAATCAAGGCTCTTGCTACAGCATACTTTTGGAACAAGGCAAAACAGACGGAGGAATCAGCAACCCCTAAATCTTAGGAAATCCACGAGGCTGGCAAACACGCATGCGATACTAAAATCACAAGATGATGCATAGTCTCAAGTGATCTATACGTCCATGGATAGGAAGATATGGGTGTCACGTCTTGATCCGCCCACCGGATGCCGTTTGTGCGACTCGAGGCAGACAGACACGAAGAGATCACCAGTGGCGGCCCTCACAAGCTGACTCTCGTACCACCGTTACAATATGAGCTCAGACAAACTCAAACTATCCGTCTCACCCGCCGACCCGAGCCGCAGTGATAAGACGGGAACAGACAATTATGTTGTCTGTGCGGACGGCTGTCCTCATACGTGAGAAGATCGCAGTCGAGCACGAACTGGACGACAAGGCTGCATGCTCTCTGGCTCAAGGCATGTGTTTGAACTCCAGCAAATGAGTGCTGATGGAGGGTGTGACGAGAAACCAGTCCATGCATATGAAGCTGATGGTCACTTATCATACCTCTGTTCAGTACGGAGTAAGATCCTATGTTCTAACTGCTAAGAGCCGGGATGAGGAAACAGACCTCCTCAATGATCACCCCACTGGGTTCCTTCTTTTCCTACAGGCTTCCGGCGAGAAAGGCGCAACTACAGGGTAAGAATCTGGCGAGTAACTGCCCGGATCTTGGTATCAGAAGCCAGAAGCATCTGGGATACGTGACCTGATTTGGATGCAAGCGGTCGGACACAGAGGCGCATACTTCGTCCCCCTCACGCCTCACCTGCAAATCAGGTACTCGGAGAGAGGCACAACAACCGATTCGATGGAAGTCAGACAGGCCTGAACTGGGAGCGACAGATGCAGTACATCTATATCACCGATCAACTACATTGAATGCAAGGCAAGTGCGTGTGAGAATCACTGAGAATCCACGTCGCGCAAGCCACGATGATCAACCAGACATGATTGGACCATACCTACTTTTTTCTTACTCTTTGGGTTTTTCCTGGTCGTAAGCCCTTCGGACATTTCCGTGGCGGGATCGACCACAAAATGGAAGCTGCATGGCCCTAATTTCGTGCCAGTTCTTTTTCGGGGTTTTTGCATACCAATCGGAGGACTATTCTCTGGCGACAATGGTTGGGCTCCAAGTCGGTGTATGGCTACTGGTCAGTGGCCCCCGCAACTCGCTTCCTGGGAGTTAAAAGATGCGTCGTAAACTCTGATCGGATTATTTCTGTTTCACACCGTTTTGTTTTTTTCATCAAGCCTGATCGACACGGCGGTGGCCTCGATCGGGGTGCGGGGATGGAAGGGTTGATTGGTGCAATATCCTACGAGCCCAACTGGTCGTTTGGACTGTCAACCTTGGCTAAAGCTGAGCACGACTTCATTTGAAGAAGTGGATACTCGGTTACCTCGATATGATTTCATCCAAGGTCAGGTCCAGCTTATCGAGTCTTTGTGGGGACATCTGACTCGGCGCTATGGATGTTAACAGAGAAGATTCTCGAGTGTCAGTCGTGGGAGGTAGTAGTATCACTGTCCGCTCGCTGTAACATGATGTAACCTCCCATGAAGCCTTCTTTTGATAATCGTTTCTAGCTCCAGCCAAGGCTGATCATTCTCCGATCTACTACGAGCCCATCAGGCGAATCAAAACCGCGACGGAGAGGACTTTCCAATTCACGAATATCGGTCACCAATGTGGTTTGCAGATTGCCAGCGGCTAGCGTGGCCACAGACCGCCAGCCACGCATGCGGCCATCCTGGTCGCTTATCACAAAGTCGCAGATGGAGGCGGATGATCTGTCATGGTGTGGCTCTTGGATATGTGGCCTAGTTACCTTGGAAGAGAGCCAGGGTATGTCTCTGACGGTGTTCGACCGAAGTTGACCAGGTGATATGTATCTCATGCGGGCTGCTGGGGGAAAGGACACCGGTCCAACTGGGTGGGATTCGTGGTCAGTGCTGTTGGAAATTCATCATATCTTTGAAAACTGCAATTGCACGATGCTGCCTACCTTAGCATCTGATCAGGCTCATGAGTGGGAAGAAGCGACCTATATCCTCAAACGGTACGGAGTAGACGGACCCTGTTACTGCATTGTGTGCTGTCATATCGCCATTCTTCCCTAGGTAGGCAACATCCATATTCCATAACCTTAGCTGGCCGACGCTTATCCTAGGAAATCCATGGCACTTGTCTGCCTATCGATAAGCGAGGGGTCAAGCAGTTACCACGAGGGGCAAAACGGTGTGACTGATCTAATAATACCTACATCACAGTGCCCTGGTCCAATGATGAGTGACAATATCCTGCACCCTAATGCGATGCAGTAGAAGCGCATGGCCTCAGTGTAATCACTACTGCATGAATATATCGCAGCCTCGTAGGTTACTCCTCGCCCTATGACTCACAACAGCCATCATTGGCATTATGAACGTTACCCAAGAACAACAGTTGCACGGGGGTGTGTCATAATCCAACTTGGATCGATTGCTGGGCACGGACTCCATGCACTGACATTGTAGCTTCCAAGAACGCCTTCCGCCTGCAACACGGACCCTGGATCAGTGAACGCTGGAGGCGTAGCTCAAACAAGACTTTACGAATTGACGCGCAGACAGGAACAAGGTCTGTCATTGTAATTTTGTCTCCAGCCTGCTTGTATAAACTAAAAGCGATTTTGCCATCGGTCGAGTCCGGTATTGGCTTCGCATAAAGAGCGTTGAATAGCAGTAGAATCGCAATCACCTCAGGGAAGAGATTGGATGGCTGCAGCTCCGTCTCTAACACCGAGTAAGGCCGTAGTTCGCTATTGACCGGGGTTGACTCCTGGTAAGAACAGAGCGGTGGATCATGTCAGGTCCTGCCTTAGTCGTCTCATGCTCACCTCAGCGGAGATATGGAGTACTTCCATACACTGAATATTACAGCGTAATCTCCGGTAGACTAACCATCCTCAAGTACGAGATAGAGCGTACACTACATCAATTCCAGCATACACGAACACTTGAAACCGCCATCATGCGCTCCTCGGAGTCCTCATCACATCCCGCAATTTCCCATATGCAGGACACCCAAAAGTAATACATCCTAGGTGCCTGTCCCATCTCCCCAAGGTACTGCCAAGTGCTGACCATATACCTCATAGGGAACAGTGGCCTCACTAGACAAGCATACCATATGCCTCATAAGGAACAGACGACTCAGTAGCCAAGCAGACCAGCCCGGCGCCAACTCAACCTCCAGAAATATTCCGTTCAGTGCTCACTTGAACACCCGAGGTTCGCTGGCTTCTCGTGCCATCTGTAGACAAACCTGGTCTGGAATCGATGTCTCATGTCCCCCGACAGAGGAGTTGTTCCTATCTTGTGATCTGTGAATGCATGAGGTTCTGCTGCTAGTAGCAGACGCCGTGGCCAAGATACATCGGACTGTTTCTGGGGTTTTTTGTGCTTCATGCATGCAGGCACGCATGCAGGCGTGTACGTATGAGGAGGCGACATCATTGGTATAGAGCTCATGGTTGATGAGCTATGTATGCTTATCCTAAACAAATAGAACAAATCATTTTCCTAGGATGAGATTGTCTGTTGGTATGGACTATGGAGTCTCTACCTCGGGTACTCTATATTTTGCTGTCCACTACCCATGATGGAAGTCAAACTAGTCCGTATATGTTTGTTGCTTGATGAAGGCAGCAACTCGTGATGTCGCCCGCTGTAATTTAACAAAAACCGGATAAATCCAGGTCTCGAAAGGTGGCGAGTTGAGTGCGAGGACAAAGGAGACAGCCAGCACATCATTTCTCTAAATTGCTTCAATATTAACACTGAAATTAAGGCTATTCTTGCCATGCTATGAGGCAGTAGCTCATGATATCCAAGTCATATAGGAATTGAGCACACCAATACAACTGATATGAAATTAGGAGAAACTCAAACCCGGACAAAGGCAAAGAATTAATAATCAAGAGTGGGCAACTAACACAAAATCCCAGGAAAAATAATAACCAGGATTACCTACGACCCATCTACCCTGTAGGTTCCCAAATTGGTATCTGGTAAGAAACAAGGTACGGAAAGCAGGTCGCAGGACAAGTACCGGCCGTCGATCACTCGCCATATGGACCGGGTCTACGGAGCTGTCGTTTGGCCTACTATTTGCAGTAGGTAAATCACTGGTAGCCTGATAACCGTTCCTAGGGTAGTCTTCGGCCACAAACCTTCTTCTGGAGAAGTTTCTGGTTGATCCACTGCACATCACTAAGCCTCTTGGGGAAAGGTGCGTAAATGCCACGCCGGAGATCTGGTGGTCTTGCAGAGTTGGACTATACTAGTTTGGGTAGTCGATACGATCAGTTTTTGTGACAGGGTAGGCATGACGTTACGTTGTAAGTTTAAAGTTGGGTGATGAGCGGTACTGACTTAACAACTTGCCAGTCAGAAACGCAGTGCCTAATATACTTTTTAATCCAAAGGATCCAAATTTACAATGACATATCAGCACCCCAGAAGTGAAATGATACTAATTTCTGGTCATTCTAGCGCAAAACTCAGGATCTCCCTTTCAATTACGGAGGCGACACATTAGTACGGAGTACCTTAGGCAGCCATATCCGTACCGAAGATGGCAATACCCGCATGGTATCTTACCGCTAGTGCTGTAGGTGGCTGACAGTGA